CTGGCTCTGTTCCCCCCCGCAGGGACCCCAAGGACCCCCCGGAGGCGTTGGGAACCTGGGACCTCCTGGTGAGAAGGTACATCCCCAGACATCATGGGGGGGGGAAGGGGGGGGCAGGCCATGGGGACACAACGGGCCTATGGGACAAGGCTTGGTCCCCGAGGGGACGGGGTGGCACGGGGGGGGGCGCTTAACTTCTCTCTGTTCCCGTTTCAGGGGGACCCCGGTGAATCGGGGGCCCCAGGAATCCAAGGGGAGCCCGGAGTCAAGGTGAGTGACATCGGGGACACCCCCTGACCTGTCCCCATCCCAGTCCCCCCCCCGGCCATGGAGAGCTGACCCCCCCTCTTGTCCCACAGGGCCCCCGAGGAGAGCGAGGGGAGAAGGGAGAAGCTGGAGCCGCCGGAGCTGCTGGACCCCCTGGAGGGAAAGGGCCCCCCGGTGATGATGGGCCCAAGGGCAACCCTGTGAGTGCTGTGTGTGTCCCCCCCCGGGGTGTGGGGGACACTGGGGGGGAATAGGGTGCCCAGGAGGACTTGGGGTTCCCAGGTCCCCCCAGACTGGCAGCTCTCTCTGTTTCAGGGTCCCGTTGGCTTTCCCGGAGACCCCGGACCCCCGGGGGAGATGGGTCCCAGGGTGAGTGTCGCATCCCACCCCCTCCGGGCTGGAGGGGGCTTCCCCGGGAATGGGATTGGGATTTGGGGGGGTGTCCTCGTGCTGACTCCAGGTTTTCCCTTCCCAACAGGGCCAGGATGGTGCCAAGGGCGAGCGTGGGGAGGACGGCGAGCCTGGGGAGCCGGTGAGTGCCCTGTTCCTCTGCGTCCCCCTCCTCACCGTAGCTCTGGGCAGCGATGTCTTGACCAGAGGTTTGGGACTGGATTGACCCCACTGCTTCGGGATCACCAGGGGTCCCAGACGACCCTCCCTTTGGCAGCCATTGGTTCTGGTCCACCCTGGTCCTGCCCATCTCCTCCATCCCTCTGGGTGCTCCTCCCGTGGCAGGGGACCCTCCTCCTCCTCCTAGCCTTCCTCCTCTTTTCGGGATGGGGCCAGTTCACTCCACTCCTTTCTCTTCTCCTTCCTCAGGGCTCGCCGGGTCCAACGGGTGAGAACGGTCCTCCTGGTCCCCTGGGCAAGAGGGTAAGCGCTGGGTGAGCCCGGCTCCGGCTGGGACACATCCCGTGCCACCCTGTCCCTGTGCCACCCTGTCCCTCACCATCACGGTTTTCTCCTCTCCGCAGGGTCCAGCCGGTTCCCCCGGCCCCGAGGGGCGTCAGGGTGAGAAGGGTGCGAAGGTGAGCGAAGGTCATCCATGGGGAGAGACCCCAAACGGTGCTGCCGGGCTCCGTAGGGCATGGCCCTCACCCTGCTCCTCTGTCCCCGCAGGGAGAACCGGGCGCCGTGGGTGCTCCTGGCAAGACGGGTCCCGTGGGTCCTCAGGGCCTTGCTGGGAAGCAGGGACCCGACGGCCTCCGAGGTCTGCCCGGCTCCGTGGTGAGTGACAACCTCTTGGTGACTTTGGTTCCGTGCACAGCGGGTTCTCCTGGCACAGGGAAGCTGGGGACAAGGGTCTGACCGTCACCCCGGGAGGGGACTGGGACGTGTCACCATGCCCATGGCTCGTGGGGACCTGCCTGGGGTGTGTGCTGCCACCCAGGGTGGGGGGAACTCACCTTGTCCTCTCCCCTGTGCAGGGAGAACAAGGCAAACCAGGGACCACAGGCCAGGCTGGGCCACCAGGACCAGTGGTGAGTGTGGCCCCCTCTGCCCCATCACACCACCCCCAAGTTGGGGGTCCCCCCCACTTTTTACACTCCCCACATCTCACGTGTACCTCCTCAGGGTCCCCCGGGTCTCCCCGGCCTCAAAGGTGACACCGGTGCCAAAGGAGAGAAGGTGAGCTCTGGGTCACCAACACAAGTCGGTGTCACCAACACAAGTCGGTGCAGCACCCTGCTGTGGGGCACGCCCCACACTTGGGGGGCCAAGACCCTACACCCTGCTGGGTGGTCCGGCACTGGGTGGGCTGGTTCCTATGGGTTCCCTGAGTGCCAGGCACCCACCATATCCCCCGTGGTGGCCCCGTGCTGATCTCCACCCATGTCTCCCCAGGGCCACCCTGGTCTCATCGGCCTCATCGGACCCCCGGGGGAGCAGGGGGAGAAGGGAGACCGAGGTCTCCCCGGCCCCCAGGGCTCCACGGGGCAGAAAGGAGAAACTGTGAGTGCGGGGGGTCTGGGGAGGGGGGGGGATGAGGTCGGGGTTGTGGTTTGGGAAGGGGTCCACTCAAGTGGGGATCAAAAAGGTGGGGTGCAGGGGACAACGTGGGGGGACTTTGGGAGTGGGGAGCCCCGCTGGGTGCTGGGAGGGGGGCTGTCCTGGTTTCCTCACGCTGGTTTCTGCTCTACTCCTGTCACGCAGGGCATCCCCGGTGCTGCTGGACCCATTGGCCCCACTGGCCCCCCCGGACTTCCCGTGAGTGCCCCCCACATCCTGCTGGTCCCGTGCCTCCCCCTCTCTGAGCCCCATTCCTCGCTTCCCCCATGCCATCTTTGACCCTGGGCTCCCACCCCATGGTGTCAGCCCCAGTCCCTGACAGACCTGGTCTTGTTTTGCAGGGCCCAGCTGGTCCCAAAGGTGCCAAGGGAGCCATGGTAAGCCCCGAGCTGGTGTCCCCCCCTCACCTCCTTCACCTTCAGTCCTGCCCAGGGCTGACCTCTGTCTCTTCCCTCTAGGGCCAAGCAGGACCCAAAGGTGAACGGGGACCCCCGGGACCCCCTGGACACCCGGTGAGTGGCTCGAGGGAAGGGATGACAATGGTGGGGAGATGTAGGAACAGGTGATGGGACAGCCAGGAGGGGATGCGGGTGGATGTCTCCTAGCTCAGAACCCATTTGGGGACCTGGGGAGCGGGTGAGGGCTTTGCAGCCCCCCCATGTTGGGGTGCTGAGAGTGCTGTGCCTGCCGCAGGGCCCCCCCGGGGAGGTGATCCAGCCCCTGCCCATCCAGCTGCCCAAGAAGAGCAAGCGCTCCATCGACGCCAGCAAGCTGGTGGAGGAGGAGGAGGAGGAGGAGGGCGAGCGAGCGGCCGCCGACCAGGCCTCTCGCGACTACGCCGAGGGCATGGAGGAGATCTTCGGCTCCCTCAACTCCCTCAAGCAGGAGATCGAGGGGCTGCGGCGCCCCATGGGCACCCGGGACAACCCTGCCCGCACTTGCCAGGACCTGCAGCTCAGCCACCCCGGCCTGCCCGACGGTGAGCAGCACCGGTGCCGGGGTGGGGGGCAAAGGATGGCGGTGGGTACTCCCGGTGCTGACCCCTCTCCTCCCTGCGCAGGCGAGTACTGGATCGACCCCAACCAGGGCTGCGCCCGAGACTCTTTCAAGGTTTACTGCAACTTCACAGCGGGCGGGGAGACCTGCATCTTTCCCAGCAAGGACATACAGGAGGTGAGCGGAGGCGGGGGGTCCCAGCGCCCAGGGTGGTGGGCATCGGCCAGGAGAAGGCTGCGATGTGGTGGGGCTCGCTAATGGCTACCTCTCCTCTCCCAGGTGAAGATGTCGGCGTGGGAGAAGGAGGTGCCCCAGCAGTGGTTCAGTCAGTTCCAGGGGGGCAGCAGGGTAAGGACGCTGCCGGCTGAGCCCCCCACCACGATGGGGAAGGCCTGCGTTGCCTGCTGGTGGTCTCCCTGCTTCTATGTGGTCAGAGGACGCTGACCTGTGGGTCGCTCCCACACGCCCTCCCACAACCCCCCCTGCCCCTTCTGACACCCTGTTGCCCTCCCCTCATGTCCCCAGCCCCAGGGGACGGCTGGATGTGCCTCTTCCTCCAAGGAGATGGAGAAATGTCCTCCACCTGACCTTGAACCTGTCAGCCCTTCTGCCCACCTCCCCTTCCCCAGCTGCCTCCTCGTAGTGGGGGGTCTAGATCCCAGCAGACCCCCCCCACCCAGCCCCACTTTTCACACGTCTCTGGCCATCGTGCCCCCCCCTGAACTCGCCTCCTGCTCCTGCAGTTCTCCTACACGGACGCGGACAGCCAGCCCCTCGGCGTGGTGCAGCTGACCTTCCTGCGGCTCCTCAGCGTCTCCGCCCGCCAGAACTTCACCTACCACTGTCACCGCTCGGTGGCCTGGCACAGCGCCGCCTCCGGGGACCACCGGCGTGCCCTCCGCTTCCTGGCTGCCAACGAGGAGGAGCTCACCTACGACACCAGCCCCTACATCAAAGCCACCATGGACGGCTGCGCGGTGAGCGGGGAGAGGCCGGAGGCGAGGGGCTGGAGGGCACGAGGAGCTGGAGGAGACGCGGGGAGAGAAAGTTGAGGACAAAGGGAGGGGTGAAGGGTAACGAGGGGAGAGGAGGCACTAGAAGGCACCAAGATGGAGGGATGGAAGAACCGACACCCTTGGGGGTGCCCCACGTGTAAGCGGGGTGTCACGGAGAGGGATGGATGGTCCAGTGCAATGTCATAGTCCAGGGAGACCATGGGTAACGCCGGAGCAGCGGAGGGCGCTGGATAAGAGAGGGGTTTGCCCTGTGCCAGGCCCTCCCTGTGCCCCCCAGCCCCTGACCCGTCCCCCCAATCCCTGCAGGCACGGAAGGGCTCCGGCCGGACGGTGCTGGAGGTGCACACGCCCCGCCTGGAGCAGCTCCCGCTGCTGGACCTGCGCGTCATGGACTTTGGCGAGCCCGGCCAGCGGTTCGGCTTCGAGGTGGGCCCGGTCTGTTTCCTCGGCTAGGACCCAAGCCCGTCGCCCCTCCCTGCCCCTCCAGCGGGGCAAAACCTCCCCCCCCGCCAGCCCCACCGCCTGCGAGCGGCGGCGAAGCAGCCGGACCCACCTCCCCCTCGCATCACCGTCACCCGCCCGCTGCTGCGAGGAGATGAGGTGCCGGCCCTGCCCGCACCCACCGGGGACCCACACGCCACCGCCGCCGCCGCCGCAGCCCCCCCGGGGGGCCAGGGTCTGGAGAGACGCCAAAGAGACTTTAACGCTTAGAATAAATCTATATTTTAATATGTAGAGAGACAGAGAGGGAAATTTTTAACGGATCCACTGGCTACCTCCCTGGGCGCCCAGCAGTGCTCCCTTCCTCCCAGTATCCCACTGCTCTTTCCCAGGGCTTATTTTCCATGCTCCCCATGACCCCAGGGGGAACCCCTTGAGGAGCGCACCCCCCGAGCAGAGGGAAGACCCCTGGAGAGCCCACGGGGTTTTAAAGCAAGCAAGGCCGTGATGCCACCAGTCGAGCACCATCGGGGATGAGCCCCGGGAGCTCTCGTTGCCTCTCTCTTCCCACCTGGATTCATGCTGCCCTCGTGCTCCAGAACCCCAGGGGTCAGGAGGGAATGGACCCCGGGACGCATCCGTCCCCCACAACAAGAGTCCCCCCAGCCACCTCCGACAGCACACCCAGGCTCCGGCACTGGCCCATATCCCTGGAGCAGCCGCTTGACTTCGCTAATCAAGGCTAATTAATTCGGAGAAAAAACAAAGCTTCCCCATCCTATCAAGGTGGGACATCCCCGCTTACTCCCAGTAGCCCAAAGGGGTTCCAGCCAGTGCGAATAATGGGAGTATTTAAAAAGCCTCCGACAAAGCCTCTCCCTGGCCCGTGGAAGGAAATGAGGAAGAAGGACGTTGTGTTTTTACTGTGTTTTTTTTTTTATTATTATTTTTTAAATTAATTATATTATTTAAAGGAGTGGATACAACTCCATTGATACTGGTCCCCTGCGGCGTAATTTTGGATTTCAAAAAAAAAACAAACAAACCCTAAGAAGTGAATTTCTGCATGGAGATTAACCCAGCCCAGTGCTTGGGGGAGGAGGGAGGGGAGGAAAAAAATAATTAAAAAAGAAAAAAGAAAAAAAAGTAAAAAATTATTTTCTTGCTGCCATCTGATAAAAAGAAATTTAAAAGGGCACCACCAGGCTTTGCTTTTTAGTTTTCTTAAAAAGCAGAGGTGTGCCCCCTGGTGCTGAGCCGGCGGCCTGTATAATGTTTTGTAAGTAATTTTTTAAGTTGTATTGTAATATATCATCTATAATTTTGCTGCTTTTTGGGGGTTGGTCTTTTTTTTTTTTTTTTTTTTTTTTCTGCTTTTTGCTTATTTTCTGCTAGCTTACCCACGGGATTTCCTTCATCGTGAGATTCCCCCCGTGCAGCGAGGAGTTCCCATCCTGGGGAGAAAGTGGGGAATAAACACACGTGCACATAAATCCCCCGTTAAATCTACCACGGGCTGCTCTCTCCAGAACATCCACGCCACAAAACGTGTCTCAGCAGCTCCTAGAAAGACAAAACCATGAGAAAAAAAAATGAGATTTGGGAAAACACAGTGGGGACAGGAGCACTGAGGGGCTTTCAGCTCACGTAGGAGCTGGCAACACAGGGGCTGGTGGTCTCCTCCAGCCGTGGGGATGGATGTGGGGGGACCATGTCACCCCACAGCTTGGGACAGGGGGGACAAAGTGGTGCAGATCCTCAGGAGGGCTAGCAGCTGTCTGGTTGGGGGTCACTAAAGGCACCGGGGTGTCCTCTCCTGCGTTAACACCCAGCAAGTTTCCAGCAGCCCCCGGGATGGCTGGGAAGGTGGCTCTTCTCAGAGAAATGGACCTGCAGCCCCATGTGTTTGCTGTTCCCCCTTCTCACACCGGCGTCTCTCCTTCCCTCAGCTCTTCCCATGGATCTGCCTGCACTTGGTAGCAAGTGGCTACCAGAGCACCAATCCCACTGGCCACGTCCCCCCTAAGACCCCACGTCCCCACTCAGGCTCACCTGCAGAGACCACAAACAAACCCACCGGTCACCATCACCAACCCGCCACTGCTGTGGGGCACCCCCGCCACCAATGTTTCCACCATGGCAATGCCAATATACAGAATCACAAAATCACAGAATGCTATGGTGTTGGAAGGGACCTCTGGAGGTCATCTAGTCGAACCCTCTGCCAAAGCAGGTCCACCTAGAGCAGGTTGCACAGGAATGTATCCAGGTGGGTTTTGAATGTCTCCAGAGAAGAAGACTCCACCACCTCCCTGGGCAGCCTCTTCTAGGGCTCTGCCACCCTCACAGGAAGGAAGTTCCTCCTCATGTTTAGGTAGAACTTCTTATATTCAAGTTTGTGCCCGTTTCCTCTTGTCCTATCCCTGGGCACCACTGAAAAAAAACTGGCCCCATCCTCTTGACAAACACCCTTTAAGTATTTATAGGCATTGATCAGATTCCCCCTCAGCCTTCTCTTCTCCAGACCAAAAAGACCCAAGTCCTTCAGCCTTTCCTCGTAAGAGTGATGCTCCAGGCCCCTCATCATCTTTGTAGCCCTCTGCTGGACTCTCTCCAGTAGTTGCCTGTCCTTCTTGAACTGGGGAGCCCAGAACTGGACACGGTGCTCCAAACGGGGCCTCACCAAGATAGAGCAGAGTGGGAGGATAACCTCTCTGAACCTGCGGGTCACACTTTTCTGGATGACCCCCAGGATGCCATTGGCCTTCTTGGCCACAAGGGCACATTGCTGGCTCATGGTCATCCTATTATCTGCCAAGACTCCTAGGTCTTTCTCCTCAGAGGTGCTCTCCAGCAGGTCAGCCCCCAACCCGTCCTGTTGTGACACCCTTCTCCGTGTCAGGGGCTGGAAGGCAGCACCATGAGGTGAATAGGGTGGGAGGCGGCAGCTCTCTGAGGAGAACATGGCGGGAGGCGGCAGCAGCATGAGTGGGAAAAGGGCGGGAAGCAGCAGCTCTGTGAGGAGAACAGGGTGTGAGGTGGCAGCACCACAAGGTGAAAAGGGCGGGAAGTGGCAGCTCTGTGAAGTGAACTTGGCAGGAGGCAGCAGCGGCGTGAGGAGAACAGGGTCGGCGGCAGGATCACCATGAGGAGAACGTGGCAGGAGGCGTCAGTGCCATGAGGTAACAAGGGCGGGAAGGGGCAGCTGCATGAAAGGGAAAAGAACAGGAGGTGGCAGTGGCATGAAGGGAGAAGGGCGGGAAGAGGCAGCACTGTGAGGAGAACATGGCCTGAGGCGGCAACTCCATGAGGGGAAAAGGGCGGGAAGCAGCAGCTCTGTGAAGAGACCATGTTGGGAGGCGACAGCACTGTGAGAAGAACATGGCCTGAGGCGGCAGCACCATGAGGTGAAAAGGGCGGGAAGGGGCAGCTCCATGAAAGGGAAAAGGGCGGGAGGTGGCAGGGGTGTGAGGAGAACATGGCGGGAGGCGGCCACAGCATGAGGAGAATATAGTGGGAGGTGGGAGTGGCCTGAGGGGAAAAAGGGCAGGAAGCAGCAGCTCCCTTTTTTTTTTTTTTTTTTTTTTTTCTGCTTTTTGCTTATTTTCTGCTAGCTTACCCACGGGATTTCCTTCATCGTGAGATTCCCCCCGTGCAGCGAGGAGTTCCCATCCTGGGGAGAAAGTGGGGAATAAACACACGTGCACATAAATCCCCCGTTAAATCTACCACGGGCTGCTCTCTCCAGAACATCCACGCCACAAAACGTGTCTCAGCAGCTCCTAGAAAGACAAAACCATGAGAAAAAAAAATGAGATTTGGGAAAACACAGTGGGGACAGGAGCACTGAGGGGCTTTCAGCTCACGTAGGAGCTGGCAACACAGGGGCTGGTGGTCTCCTCCAGCCGTGGGGATGGATGTGGGGGGACCATGTCACCCCACAGCTTGGGACAGGGGGGACAAAGTGGTGCAGATCCTCAGGAGGGCTAGCAGCTGTCTGGTTGGGGGTCACTAAAGGCACCGGGGTGTCCTCTCCTGCGTTAACACCCAGCAAGTTTCCAGCAGCCCCCGGGATGGCTGGGAAGGTGGCTCTTCTCAGAGAAATGGACCTGCAGCCCCATGTGTTTGCTGTTCCCCCTTCTCACACCGGCGTCTCTCCTTCCCTCAGCTCTTCCCATGGATCTGCCTGCACTTGGTAGCAAGTGGCTACCAGAGCACCAATCCCACTGGCCACGTCCCCCCTAAGACCCCACGTCCCCACTCAGGCTCACCTGCAGAGACCACAAACAAACCCACCGGTCACCATCACCAACCCGCCACTGCTGTGGGGCACCCCCGCCACCAATGTTTCCACCATGGCAATGCCAATATACAGAATCACAAAATCACAGAATGCTATGGTGTTGGAAGGGACCTCTGGAGGTCATCTAGTCGAACCCTCTGCCAAAGCAGGTCCACCTAGAGCAGGTTGCACAGGAATGTATCCAGGTGGGTTTTGAATGTCTCCAGAGAAGAAGACTCCACCACCTCCCTGGGCAGCCTCTTCTAGGGCTCTGCCACCCTCACAGGAAGGAAGTTCCTCCTCATGTTTAGGTAGAACTTCTTATATTCAAGTTTGTGCCCGTTTCCTCTTGTCCTATCCCTGGGCACCACTGAAAAAAAACTGGCCCCATCCTCTTGACAAACACCCTTTAAGTATTTATAGGCATTGATCAGATTCCCCCTCAGCCTTCTCTTCTCCAGACCAAAAAGACCCAAGTCCTTCAGCCTTTCCTCGTAAGAGTGATGCTCCAGGCCCCTCATCATCTTTGTAGCCCTCTGCTGGACTCTCTCCAGTAGTTGCCTGTCCTTCTTGAACTGGGGAGCCCAGAACTGGACACGGTGCTCCAAATGGGGCCTCACCAAGATAGAGCAGAGTGGGAGGATAACCTCTCTGAACCTGCGGGTCACACTTTTCTGGATGACCCCCAGGATGCCATTGGCCTTCTTGGCCACAAGGGCACATTGCTGGCTCATGGTCATCCTATTATCTGCCAAGACTCCTAGGTCTTTCTCCTCAGAGGTGCTCTCCAGCAGGTCAGCCCCCAACCCGTCCTGTTGTGACACCCTTCTCCGTGTCAGGGGCTGGAAGGCAGCACCATGAGGTGAATAGGGTGGGAGGCGGCAGCTCTCTGAGGAGAACATGGCGGGAGGCGGCAGCAGCATGAGTGGGAAAAGGGCGGGAAGCAGCAGCTCTGTGAGGAGAACAGGGTGTGAGGTGGCAGCACCACAAGGTGAAAAGGGCGGGAAGTGGCAGCTCTGTGAAGTGAACTTGGCAGGAGGCAGCAGCGGCGTGAGGAGAACAGGGTCGGCGGCAGGATCACCATGAGGAGAACGTGGCAGGAGGCGTCAGTGCCATGAGGTAACAAGGGCGGGAAGGGGCAGCTGCATGAAAGGGAAAAGAACAGGAGGTGGCAGTGGCATGAAGGGAGAAGGGCGGGAAGAGGCAGCACTGTGAGGAGAACATGGCCTGAGGCGGCAACTCCATGAGGGGAAAAGGGCGGGAAGCAGCAGCTCTGTGAAGAGACCATGTTGGGAGGCGACAGCACTGTGAGAAGAACATGGCCTGAGGCGGCAGCACCATGAGGTGAAAAGGGCGGGAAGGGGCAGCTCCATGAAAGGGAAAAGGGCGGGAGGTGGCAGGGGTGTGAGGAGAACATGGCGGGAGGCGGCCACAGCATGAGGAGAATATAGTGGGAGGTGGGAGTGGCCTGAGGGGAAAAAGGGCAGGAAGCAACAGCTCCCTGTGAGGGAAAAGGGCGGGAAGCGGCAGCTCTGTGAGGAGACCATGGCGTGAGGCGGCAGCACCATAAGGTGAAAAGGGCGGGAAGGGGCAGCTCCATGAAAGGGAAAGGGGCGGGAGGTGGCAGGGGTGTGAGGAGA